GGCTTCGTCCTTTCTTTCATTCTATTATGATCTAGTCTGACATCCATCCAGTCATCGCCATAGAATCATGATTACAACTCAAATCACATGTCCTCTCACACCCCGCTACCCTCATGACTGCGTCATACTCAGCTGCTCTGACGCAATCTTTTTCTGCATGCTCTCAGAGCCAGTCACATCCACATGTTCCACTCCGCACCTTTATCAACATTTGTCTTGTCTTCACTATTGACTAAATCTCTTCAGGTGTGTCTTTTTCTCATAGACAGACCCGCCATTACGATTCGTCACTCCCCCCATCTGTACCTATTCGCCCGCCCAGTTGGAATCGGGGAACTCGTCCACCTTTTCTTCTCCGCCCATGCTTTTTGTCCTCACCATAGCCGGGCTTGGTTAATCGGCTAAAGTGAGGTTTGCTATATAATCAACGGAATTCCCACGGGGTCTACGCCCGCGCGGGAAGCCCGATGATGAAAGGGAAAGGGGCCCCTTCTACTCCCGGCTCCCAGGCCGGAGCTTTTGTTGGGGAAGAAATACAAACGGCCCTCTCCAGCCCCCCACCTCCCAGACGGAAAGAAGTGCGAGCGTGGCTTGGAGGAACCTCGAAGGCTCCTCGATGGCTTTTGCGCTCGGTTCTCTTTCTCCCCATCTCGAAGTTGCGAGCTTTGGACAGGGAAGTCGGGCGCCGCCATTGTCGCGGCCGTTCAGGGGCAGGGAGGCGGCTGCCGCTACTTATGTAAGTTCGGCTTTGCCGGAGCTCCGGCTCCCTGCTCCGTCTGGGCGCCTGGGCGCGCCGGCGATTTGGAGAACCTTCACTAAAGGGCAGCTTTGTTAGGGAGGAGCAGTTAGGGCTACAGGGCTCACCACCTGCACCGACTGGCAATGGGTATCTTCCAGTTTGACTCACCTGAACTTAGCCATTGGAACATCTCAATAGAAAAAAAGGTGGTCCAGAGAGAGAGAGGGAGAGAGAGGAGAGAGAGAAAGAGAAAGAAGGCCAAATAACACCCTAGCCAAAAAAAAAAGGGGGGGGGGCGCATCAGCACACTGATGTGTATGGCCACTCCTCTCCCTACCTAGTCCATCTCTTATATCCCCACAAGCTCCAGGATAGTTACTGGCAGCGGTAGGGAGTGTGACCTGGTAGGAAGTTTGGCCTGGACACTTGCTTTTGGGGGTGACTACAGGCCAGGTTCCATTTGAGGAAAAAAGTCAGAAGCATCCCTAGAACTGATTGTGCCCAGCCCGCACACTGGTTGCTGTGTTGGCTTTTCTGTAGAGGGAACTTTGTGATAGTTTTCAGGACTTGGGTCTCTTGGTTTGCGTCTTGCACCACAGTTTTGGGGTCAGACTATTGCAGCCCAGTCCCTTGGTCTTACCACATTGAAGTCTGTGTGATCACTGTTCGGTAGAAGAAACTTTTTGTATTTTTCAGGACATTGGTCTGCAGGATGGAGTCCCTCTGGTAAGAGTTCAAATTAAAAAGCTAGAATTCTGCCCTACCTGGTTTGGCTTAGTGGATAGAGCATCGGCCTGCGGACTGAAAGGTCCCGGGTTCAATTCCAGTCAAGGCACATGTCCAGGTTGCAGGCTCAGTCCCCAGTAGGAGGTAGCCGATCAATGATTCTCTCTCATCATTGATGTTTCTCTCTCTCTCCGTCTTCCTTCCTCTCTGAAATCAATAACAATATATTTTAAAATAAAAAGCTGGAATTCTTTGAGCTTCTCTGTAGGGATACAGGTGAAAACACTGGGGTTTCTCAAATGCAGGCTTAGAGACCAGTGTAGCTTAAATGATGTGTGCTACACTGTACAGAAGTGTGGAAAGAAGAAACCAGCTACTGTTCCCTTTCCTCCAATGTTAACTGTTGGGTATATGAGCTTCTGTAACTTTCTCTGTATTTATAAATACATATACATATACATATACATATACATATATATATATATATATATATATATATATATACTCTCTATATGAGCCTAGAGAAAAATGTGGAGGGCCACATACTTAGGAAATGGTGGGGGGAGGGGGCACTTTCTGTCTTTTCCTGATAATCTGTGTAGCTATCAACATCTATAAATGGTCTTTGTGAGGAGAAAATCTTTAGTGGCTTTCCAATGCATACTCTGCGCACAGCCCCGCCACACTCCAAGTGCTGCAGCCCTTCCCTGTTCTTCAAGTCTGCTCAGAGCCGGACCTGATGCTGCCAGCCACCCTCCTCTCTGTTCCCAACCTGAAAATGGGTACATGTGCAAGTGGCAGGATAAGAAAGGAAAGTTTATTTTTAAAAAACATTCTTATTTAGAATTTGGGATAGAGGAAGACTCTATCTTATTCTTGTGTGTCCTTTTCTCTTATAGGACTGGCACGCCCCTGATCAGTTATTCTGATCTGAAGAATTTGGTGTTTCAAGCATTAAGACAATAGCCTGAGTTGTTCATGGTAACTATAACTTTGGATATTAAATATTGAAAATATGGTTTGGTATTTGCTTTAAGAAATATATACACGTGTGTGTATGTGTACATACACACACACATATAATGTGTTCCCACTTCTCTTTCTCCCCCATTTATACTTGCGGAATGAAAGGCAAACGATATTTTTAAAAGAAAACATAGAATCCATTATTAAAAGGTCACTTTCTGTGATATTATGACAGATGTCTTTTTTGCCAGTTTTAAATTCCTTTTGCTTATAAAATACCTGTAGCACTTGTCAAGTACATCCATCTTGATGACGTTTTTGTCTCGATGGCGGATAGATTGGCATCTAGAGGGAATGAAACTGCTCATCTTTGAGGGTTGTATTAAACCTTAACCCTCATTCAGAAGTGGCCCAAAACTGGTGTGGAAAAGCTAGAAGACAACACCAAATGGAATATTTTGGCAATATTCCAATATTCCAACTTTCTAGTTCTGCTACAGTGACTTGTCAGTTCTCTCTAGGAAGTAGAACATTGAACGCTGTTAGTTATTTTACTAAATCTTTCTCTGAAATTAGACTAGATACAACATACATGACTGATGGATGCTTGCCTCAGAACTATTTTCAAACCTTGAAACTGAGTTATTTGCCTTTATTAACTCTACTTGTCAGGAAGCACAGGTTTTGGAGCTAGATTGCCTGGATTTAAGTCCCAGCTCTCCACTAAATAGCTACAATATTGGGCAGGTTCCCAACATCATCTATGAAATAGAGATAGTAATACCTATCTCATAGTTTTATTTGATCTTTACATTCGCAAAGAGATGGAAAGCACATAGAACAATACCGGGCATGTATTAGTTGCTCAGTAAAAGTTGGCTATCATTATAATTAGGCAAATACTTAGTAAACTGAAGATAAATAGAAATAACAATTTGGAAGTCCCTAAGTTGGGATATCTTTTCCTATTCATACTTTTGAACCCCTCTTAATGACTTTCTGAAATTGTTAGGTACTAAAAATTGATTAGAAAATGAAAATCTACCTGTATTTTCTATGTGGAAAAATATTGTCATAATTATCAACTTGCTTTTTAAAAATTTTTTGTAGGAGTTTTTCATCAGTATGTCTGAAACCATTAAATATAATGACGATGATCATAAAACTCTGTTTCTGAAAACACTAAATGAACAGCGCCTGGAAGGGGAATTTTGTGATATTGCTATTGTGGTTGAAGATGTGAAATTCAGAGCACACAGATGTGTTCTTGCCGCCTGCAGCACCTACTTTAAAAAGCTTTTTAAGAAGCTTGAGGTTGATAGCTCTTCAGTAATAGAAATAGATTTTCTTCGTTCTGATATATTTGAGGAGGTCCTGAACTACATGTACACAGCAAAGATTTCTGTGAAAAAAGAAGATGTTAACTTAATGATGTCATCAGGTCAGATTCTTGGTATCCGATTTTTGGATAAACTCTGTTCTCAGAAGCGTGATGTATCTAGTCCTGATGAAAATAATGGTCAGTCAAAAACTAAATATTGCCTCAAAATAAATCGCCCCATTGGAGATGCTGCTGACGCTCAGGATGATGATGTGGAGGAAATTGGAGATCAAGATGACAGTCCATCTGATGACACTGTAGAAGGCACACCCCCCAGTCAGGAGGATGGCAAGTCGCCTACAACTACACTCAGGGTTCAGGAAGCGATCTTGAAAGAACTGGGGAGTGAGGAAGTTCGAAAAGTAAATTGCTACGGCCAGGAAGTAGAATCCATGGAGGCCTCAGAATCGAAAGATTTGGGGTCTCAGACCCCTCAAGCCTTAACATTTAATGATGGAATGAGTGAAGTGAAGGATGAACAGACACCAGGCTGGACAACTGCTGCCAGTGACATGAAGTTTGAGTATTTACTTTATGGCCACCATCGGGAGCAGATTGCCTGTCAGGCATGTGGTAAGACATTTTCTGACGAAGGCAGATTAAGGAAGCATGAAAAACTCCACACAGCAGACAGGCCATTTGTTTGCGAAATGTGTACAAAAGGTTTTACCACACAGGCCCACCTGAAAGAACACCTAAAAATCCACACAGGATATAAGCCCTACAGTTGTGAGGTGTGTGGAAAATCATTTATTCGTGCCCCAGACCTAAAGAAGCACGAGAGAGTTCACAGTAATGAAAGGCCGTTTGCATGCCATATGTGTGACAAAGCCTTCAAACACAAGTCCCACCTCAAAGATCATGAACGAAGACACAGAGGGGAAAAGCCTTTTGTGTGTGGCTCATGCACCAAGGCATTTGCCAAGGCGTCTGATCTGAAAAGGCACGAGAACAATATGCACAGTGAAAGGAAGCAGGTTACCCCCAGTGCCATCCAAAGCGAGACAGAACAGTTGCAGGCAGCAGCAATTGCCCTGAAGGGAGCAGCAGTTGGAAACAATAGCCTGTAGCTAGAGTTGATGGGACGCGAACACTTTGCTTGAGCCGTGGAGACTGAGATTGCATTGTTTGTAATAAATGAACACCAGTCACTGTATTATTATTATTTTTTATTTTTTCTGAAAACTTACGGAACATTGTATACTCGCTGGACTTAAGGCAGTGCCTGGTTAGGTATTTTTAAAAATTTTAAAGGAAATAACGTTCCTTGTTTCTGACCAAACAGTTTCACTGTCCTGTCTGGTGTCTAGTATTAATGTTGCCAGTAAGTCCTGCCTCTTCTCTTTTTTTATGGTTTTAATTTGAGGACTCCTATGTCCAGTTCAGAAGTGAGAGACTTCTGTTCCAATTTTTAGTATCTCTCTGCACTTGCTGCACTGGTGAACGCACTGCACAGAGTGATAATTGAGTAAATTGATTTCCTAATCACAATTATATGTGACTTACGGTCAAAACAGCATTTTTAGTAACTTAAAGTACTTCGTGTAGATGCAGAAAATACTGGTGGGTGGTTGACCAAGAACACTGCACAAGTATGAAAACAAGGCCTGGAAATGTAGAATGGTCTTAGGTTTGCATTGATTTATTAATTTTCTATCACTGTTTTTTTCACAGTTCTTGTGGACAAATAATGAATGGTTGCTTTGCTAAAGTGTTTCTTCATTTTGATTGACCATACCTAACCCAAGAGATGTGGTAACAAGTCCCCAAGGCTGAACAAATCCGTAGGGATATTGGTGATCTAGTGGCTGAATTCCTTCATTCCTCTTATTTGGGGCATTACCACTCTGAAATTAAGTGGGGTTAGTGGAGTGGACCAGTGCTGAGAGGATTAGAAAACAGTGAATAGGACTCTGGCTCTCAGAGACAAGGTTTTCACATATGCAATAATTCCAAGGTTTCCTAGATCAAAATAAATTTTAATTGATTTTGAAATTAGGACAAGAACAGGTATGTGTCCTCAGATACATTTGTGTAACAGACTGTTATCAAACTTTTGGGTTCTCTGTAGCACATGACTTATCCATAAAGGAGATGCAATATCGTGACTTAAATTAATACATTTAAAATCTTTAAAGTGTGTAAATAGTATAGAAGTATTGGTCTTACGTATTTCAAGGAAAGTAGACAGCTGCACTTTTTTTTTTTGCACATTGAATAAAATAACTTCCATCAGCAAGAAACATCAGTCTGTTGTTAACCAATATTAAAGAGTGTCAGACCAAATGTTTATGTTTTTGAAGTATATTTCATCACTGGCTACAGTTTTAAGTAGAGTTGATTGCCTTTTCATAGCTGTAAGAATTATAAATGCTGTTCAATTTTGGTGTATGAAAATTTTTTAAACCATTTATTTAGGAATATATTGAAATACCAATAATAGTTTGAATTATGTTCTATAATAAAGCATTAGTCAATTATTTTAGAATGTACAATTTAGAAAAATGTTGACATTTAAAATTTATTTTTGGTTGCTAGGGTGTTTTTTTAAGAGACATTAAAATAATTGCATTTCATAGTTTGCTGCATTAACACCTATAATTACTACTGTGGGAGAAATTTTATTTTTTAAATGGTGTATATGTTGCACCCAAGATTGTAGGATGAAGATGCTACCTTTTAAGAAACATATTTATTGGTAAAATGCTTAATTTAGTTTAAAATTAATTTAATTTCTTTTCTTAACAGTTGTTTTTTCCATCCTAAAGTAGTCCTGTCACTGTTTATATGCTATTAGTGGAAGGGAAATTGATTGACATTCCTAGGCTGTTTTAACCAAAGCAAAAGAAAAATAATTTCACATCTGGTTGATAGCTACTTCAACAAACCATTTTTGGGTCTTCACTTTAGTATATATAAGAAAATATACTTCTATCATTTCTGTTTTCATAGTAATCTTTCACACATCCGGGTTTCTACCAAAGTACATTTTCTACTATCTTCATCATGGTTTTTCAGAGTTGCAAGTTATGTGGTTAACCTTCATCGAAATCACATAATCATAATGGTACCCAAAAAAAGAAAGCTTAATTTTCAGCCCTTTATTTGTATTATGTAAATATTTATCATTTGTCCTATTTTGCATGAGAAATATATTTGTGTTGCAATTTCTACCGCTGGTACTGGGTTTATATGTGTGTTAGGGTGCTTGTCTGCTTGATGGCAGCAAAGTCATGACATGGCAGCTTTCCTGTCCCCTGGTCATTGAGACTGCCTCTCTCCTCACCCAGCTGGCTTTAATAGCCTCTTGGATGGTGAAACCATAATGTTAGACAGTTCAAGGATAACTCTAATCACAGGGGGGTAATTTTGAAATGTCCTTACACTGAATTTATCATGTGAGGGGAAGGAAATTCTAAGCTATCTTTTCCATTATTTAAAAGTCACTTTTTTCTGTTTGAACAAAGAATATCTACAAACTTAATTTTACCTTTTATGCCAACTTGCATTGTATTGGCAATGGTTGAGGAAGATAATTTTAGGAAGTCCAAACTTTAGGTCATTTATCTACTAATTAACTTGGTCACAAATTTAAAATTGTTAGACATTATAGAGGTTGCCATCAACTGAGCCTGATACTAATAAATTCTTCCTATTTTGTTGAGGAAAAAAAAAGATGGAGGTGACAGGGAATGATGCAAATTTATGTAGTTTTGATCTAATTATGTAATGTAAGGTTATCTGTAACTCAGTCATTGGAAATCTGGAATACATTTTCCAGAGTATTGCTGTTAGTGGTGATTAGTTCCTAGAACAGCTGTAAAAGCCTGTGTACCTGTAACAGAATTAATGTAAGGGTTATAGTCTTGAGTTCTGAGTCGTAGGAGTTAATGAGCTGAGGCTTCCAGGAATGAGAATGGAAGAAACTGTCCCTTTCCTCTGCCATTTATTTACCTGTAATATCTACCTCCCTTTCTCCATTATCCAAGCCCACCACGTTCCCACACTCCACAATGTATGAGAGACTAGCAAAACATCAGATTGGAGGCAAGATAACCATTAACAACCACCACAGTGAGAGATGAGGACCTAAATTTATTCTGATGCTTCCTTCTAATACTTAACTGAAATCAATGATCACTTTCAGTGATGGGGAGCTCCCTACTTCGCTGATGTCCTACACTCCCAGCTTTAACTGCTCCTTATTCCTTGAATTTTGTCTCCATTTTTGTATGTCCCCTTGTAACTGAACTTTCTTCCCCTTGGAACTATTCAAAATAAAGTTAATCCTGCAACTACTTGACAACACTTGCTTTGGACCCGACTAGCACAGTTTGTTCCCTTTCCAAGTCTTGTCTTAAGCATTATTTTTAAACTAGGGGCCCAGTGCACGAATTTGTGCACCTTGAAAGGAACTGTGGGCCACAAGGCTGTGGTGGGCACAGGGGTGGGTCTCAGCCCATCCTCTGCACCCCTGCCCAGCCCCTCCCACCATGGCCCCTGGTCCCCTGTCTGCCAGCAGCCCTACTCCCATGTGCTGACGGCACCAGACCCGCTTGTACCCACTGATGGTGTGGGACAATTGGGGCCAGTGCCAGCAGCGGGTACAAGCAGCAGCTGCTGCTCCAATCACCCCTCAGGAGCAGGGGGAGGTAGAGAAGCCCTTAGGGGCAATGGGGCCGCAGCTGCCACTTGTACCTGCTGATGGCGTTGAGCGATTAGGGCCAGTGCCAGCAGTGGGTACGAGTGCCCAGTGGGACCATGGCACCTGGGAGCAAAAAATTTTCAGTAACCACCAGAGGCTCACCCCGATGACAATGACCGGTGCCCCACCTTGGTCTGGTGCCCCTGCTCACCTGCTTCAGGCTGACACCTGCCATGGTCCACGCGTGCCCCCTGGTGGTCAGTGCACATCATAGCTACCGGTTGTTTGGTTGTTCTGCAGTTTGGTCTATTTGCATATTAGGGTTTTATATAGGTAGATAATTTGCCCATCACCTGTTATCCGTAATTTCTTAAAGGTCACCATACTGATCTTAAGGTCCCTGAATGTAATTTTGTTGGATTGTGATATTTCAGCAGTTATGTGATTTCATGATCTCTTCAAGAAATATTCCCAATTACCAGTACTCGTAGGTATTTTCAGTATAATTAGGGGGACGTGTAGTTTAGTGAAAAGACTTCTGTAGTCAAACTTGAATTGGATCCTGGCACTGTTTACTAGTTAATATCTAAATTTAGGCTAGTTCTTTACCTCCCTGAGCCTTAGTTTTATCATATCTAGAATAGCAATTGGGATTTCTACCTCTTGGTCTGCTGTGAAAATTAAATGTGATAACCAGTACAAAATGTTTAGCCCAGCACCCATTGCTTTTTAGGTGCACCATAAATGTTTCCTTCTTAATGAACATTCTCAATAGAGAAACAGAAGCCAAACTGAAGTTCTCTTGACTTTGACATGTCTGTTTTACAAAGTGACTTTTTTTTTAAATTCTCACCCAAATATATGTTTTCATTGATTTTTAGAGGGAGAGAAACATTAATTGGTTGTCTCCCGTATGTGCTATGACCTGGAATTGAACCTGCAACCTAGTTTTGTGCCCTGATCAGGAATTGAACCTGAAATCTTTTGGTGTATAGGATGACGCTTCAGCTAACTGAGCCACCTGGCCAGGGCTCAAGTGACCCTTTTCAATGTATACTGAGAAAATATATTTGTTAAACATTATCATTTCCATTTGTTAACATTACCATTCTCATTTTTTCTCATTGGTATTGAATTGAGAAAGGGGAATGTAATATGAGACTATCTTTAAAAGAATAGATTCTGGCAACAAGAAAGAACACGGATGCAAAGAAAATTAGAGAAGTAAGAAATAACATGGCCCTAGTCAGTTTGGCTCAGTGGATAGAGCGTTCGCCTGTGGACTGAAGGGTCCTGGGTTTGATTGTTGCCAAGGGCACATACCCAGGTTGTGGGCTCCATCCCCAGTAGAGGATGTGCAGGAAGCAGCCAATCAATGATTCTCAGATTTTTCTATCTCTCCCTCTGCCTTCCTCTCTGAAATCAATAATATATAATAACATGGCCTTCCAGCAGCTTTGGACAAGGTACCATATATTAAAAATTTGGAAGGTTTTTTTTGGGGGGAGGGTACTTAATGAGCAATACAGGGTATGTTCAGCAGCAGCTGTGAAATGAGAATTGTGAGTGAGCAGGTATTCCCTAACAGCCTCAAACCTAGCATTTGTTGAATATTTACTAGGTATCAGGCACTATTTATACTATTTCTATACACACTTTGTGACAACTTTGAGGCACACCTTATTACTGATGAAAACCAAGATTCAGAGAAGTTAAAAATCCTGCCAATGTCAAGGTGTTATCCAAGCCGGGACAGAACGGGTAGATCTTCCTCCAGAGCCTGTGTCCTTAGTTACCATGTCATAATGCCCTCAAACAGGGAAAGGGGCAACTGTGGCCTTGCACACATCCTTACCAACCTCAGTCCACTTTAGGAGGAGGGAGAGCAGTTGGAGGAGAGAGAGGCATTTATGCAAACAATTGCCCCTACGCTTATATCATTAATTAGTTTCAATATTTTGATTTCTCTAATACATTTCTTATGCAAGGAACCAAATACTAAACTAACATTGTTTTACCTTCCTTTGGGTCTAGAGCAGTGGTTCTCAACCTTCCTAATGCATCGACCCTTTAATACAGTTCCTCATGTTGTGGTGACCCCCAACCATAAAATTATTTTCGTTGCTACTTCATAACTGTAATTTTGCTACTATTATGAATCATAATGTAAATATCTGATATGCAGGATGTATTTTCATTGTTACAAATTGAACATAATTAAAGCATAGTGATTAATCACAAAAACAATATGTAATTATATATGTGTTTTCCGATGGTCTTAGGCGACCCCTGTGAAAGGGTCGTTCGACCCCCAAAGGGGTCGCGACCCACAGGTTGAGAATTGCTGGTCTAGAGGCTCCCCCAAATAATATAGAAAACTGCAGATAAAGTGCCATGGAGGATTGCAAAATAACAGAGCTACTGGTTGGTTTTCTTCACGTGTTCCATTATTCAGTGAGCCAGGGGAACCCCAAAGACCATCTAGTTTGGTGTCAAAATTAACTCTTTATGTTTGTAAAAATAGTTATGTGTTAGGAGATCTCCCCCACCTCTCTGAAAAGTGCTAGAAAACTTGAATTAAGGTTCTACCTCTACTGCTTTCAAGGTGACACTACCTTGGGATAGTTGCACAATTTTTCTTAATTTCTTCAGCTAAAGTGCAAATGGTGATTCCCTATTCAGTTTACCCCACTTTCTTATTATTTCAAAAAATAAACTCATTTCTTGCATAAGTAATAGGAAATTTGGCTTTAAAATGGTTTTTAAGATCAGATGTAATTGATTTAAAATATTACCTCAAGACGGAAAAGGTTAGAAGGTAAACAGGTGAGGAACTTAAATTTACACTTTATTCTTATGTTGTTTACATTTAACTAAAGCAAGGGTGTATGTATGAGTGCTATTTCTCCTAAATCTTGGAATGCTTTAGCCATTCTGTTATATTCTGCAGTTTTCCAGCAATCTTTCAGCAAATATGAAATGGGAGCCCAGAGTGTGGGTCCATGCACTGAAGAGTCTTGGGTTCAATTCCTGGTCAAGGGCAGGTATCTGGGTTGTAGGTTAAATCTTTTGCCAGAGACATGTGAGAGGCAACCAATTAATATGCCTCTCTCACATCAATGTTTCTCCCTCTCTCTCCTTTTCCCCTTCCCTCCCTTCTACTCTCTGAAAATCAATGGGAAAAATATCCTTGGGTGAGGATTAACCATATATATATGAAATGGGAAATAGTAACCGGATTGGAAGGCTACTGGATCAGTTGGCCTTGATTGGTATAAACAAAATTATACAGGGTGGAGCAAAAGTAAGTTTACAGTGGAAAATAATACTATAATTAATAATAATAAACTGTTTCATGTACTCACAAATATAAACCCACTTTTACCCCACCCTGTATTTAGTAATCTCTAATAAATGTGGCATGGAAAAAAGGGATGAATTCATTTTAGGGACTATATAATTAATTATTATCCCAAACTTCTGTGACTTGTGAGATCACTGGAATTTTCTCATTTTTTAAGTTTTGAGAAATAATTGACATACATCACTGTATAAGTTAAGGAGTACAGCATGATGATTTGATTTGCATCTATATATATAAAAGCCCAGCGACCAGAAAGACCAGAACAACCTGTGGCTATGACATGCACTGTGGCAGTCAACCAGCCTGATCTGGGCCCGATCGGCTCCCCCCAGCTGGCCCAGCCCCCTGTTGGCCCCCAACACCCCAATCAGGGGCAGAGCTAGCTGGCCAACTGCCTGTGGCCCCTCCCCCCACCAGCCCAGCTCGATGGGCCCCCATTGGGGCAGGCTGGCCAGACCCCACCTGTGCACGAATTTTTGCATTGGGCCTCTAGTCTATTGTGAAATGCTTACCATTACTTAACATTCATCATCTCATATAGATACAATAAAAAGAAAAGAAAAATAATTCTCCTTGTACTGAGAACTTGTACTGAACTATCTTAACAACTTTTCTATATATTATACAGCAGTGCTAACTAGTCATGTCATATATCCCTAGTACTTACTTATCCTATAACTAAATTTGTATCTTTTGACCACCTTCCTCCAAGTTTCCCTTCTCTCACCCTTTCCTCTGGTAACCACAAATCTGATCCCTTTTTCTAATGTGGCTTTTAAAAATTAGATTCCGCATATTAGTGAGATTATACAGTATTTGTCTTTCTCTGTCTGACTTATTTCACTAATCATAATGCTTCCATATTGTCACAAATGGTAGGATTTCCTCATTTTTTATGGCTGAATGGTATTCCATTGCATATACAGGGATACCTCAGAGATATAATGGATTTGGGTCCCAATTACTGCAATAAAGCTATTACCAGACAGGGGACCTGCCCTTGGTGGGGTCTGCCTAGGGCCAGCCCACAGTGTGTGGGTTCCTGGCTTCATGCAGGAAAGATTTCACAACATGAGTCCAGGTGAATTCTAGAACATTTATTAAAGCTAGCGAAACAAGAAAGAGCTGGGGGAATGAGCCTAGGCTGCTCTGCTTTGGCTCCCTAAGAAATCAGAGAAAAAGGGCCTTGGGGACAAGTTCAGGGGGTTTGTCTAGGACGAACTGCTGCTGTCCATTGCTGCCCTGGTTGCAAGCCTCATGGGGTCCCTTAGAGTTTAGGGAATGCC